ACCTTAGAGTAGAAACTATGTCAGGGAGGGCAGCCGCTTTGGGGAGAGTCAGGGCATGGTTTGTAAGGCCCCGTGGTCCTGACTGTCCACATGCCTGGGACCCCCGACCTCCTACCGTCTGGAGCAGAGCTGGGGGTAGCTCAGGTCTGGGGCCCTGCCTGGGATCTCTCCACTCTTCATTTTGCAAAGGTTTTTTCTGTTTCCCTGAGAGCCAGGACCTTAAGGAGGGGAGAAGTCCATGGCTGTCAGCAAGGAAAGCTTTCCTCTCATAATCAGTAATCCTGGGTTTGTCTGTTTAAAAGTCCAAACTTCTCTGGTATAAACCCCAAATCCACATTTTTCAACAATTAAAGTGAAACACCGCTATATATATAGCTATCAGCTGAACGCAATTTTTTTGTTTGCAAGGCCTGGCCCCATGCCCCTGCCACAACACCCTGCAACACACGGTCACAAAATGCCACGGTCACTGTCCCACCAAACATGCAGAGCAGGACACGTCCCTTCCTTCCTCCCCGATGTCAGCTGGACCCCGGCAGCACCCACCTGGTATTCCTGGTGTTTCTGGCTTTCACTCCCTTGCAGTGCTTCAAGCCTCTCCCTCTCTCCCCTTAGCAGCTGCAGCTGAGTCTGAATTTGTTCCTGAGGGAAGGAAAACTCCTTGGGTCAGTTTTCCTTGGAGGGGAGAAGCTGGAGTCTCTTCCCCCCACCATAACCGAGAGGGCTGCTCGAGGGTGCGCTGTGAGCATGACACCAGGGAAGTCCACGTTCTCAGGCTGGACCAGCAGCTCCCAGTACAGCGCACCCTTGCCTGGACGCAGCACCGAATAGTGGGTGCTTAACACAGCTGGAGCAGCAAGCAGCCAGTTTCCAGCTGGATTGTGGAGCCAGCTCCTGCCCAGCAGAAAGAGCAGATAGGAAAATGGAGCCGGTCCTAGGGATGTGCCACAAGGCAACACTACAACCCACAGGGAAGGGCAGACTGTCAGGGACATGCACTGAACAGAAAATAACACGGCCTTGAATCCACCGCGGTCGACAGTGCAGAGTGCCAGCCAGTCTTAGGCAGCTGGGCCGGGCAAGACGCAGGTCTGGTCTCTGAGCATTGAAATAAAGAAACTCAGAAGTGAGACACCAGTCCTGAAGTATCACAGCCCAGCAGTACAGCTACAGCTACAGTGAGATGCCTCAGAAAGAGCAGCATTAATCCAGGACCAGCGCAGCACAGCATTTGGTAGCCAGGCCTGGACAGAGACAGGGAAGGAGGTGCTCAGATACAAAAGGAGGTCCTGGCTGTGCTCCCTGGACTGGGGCGGTGCCACCACGTCCCCTCTGGACCCAGCATTAGCCCCTAAAGCCCCCGGCACCAATGCAATGCGCATTACTGAGACTTGTGCAACGCGCCGGGAGCATCGGCTGGGGGAAGCAGCTGCTCCTGGCAGATCCCGTGAGCAGGGCCTGCCCTCCAGAGCATGCCACGTGGGCTCTGTCCGAGGGGAACAGAGTCTGTCCATGCGCTACAATCCCGCGGTCCCCAGGGAGTCCCCAGGCAGCTCCCAGGGAGGGTTGTAACAACTGAAGGGAAACGGGTGCAGGACACCCCCTGTTTCAGGACACAGCCCTGCACACAACCGTGGGTCAGTGACACTGGAGGAGGTTCGCTGCTCTGCGTGTCCAGGGCCAGGGGACCGGCTTTCCTGCTTCATCTGCTTTCAAAGGAAGGATTTGATGACAAGGGTGTAGTAATTGGGCGATTACAGGGTTAAAGTGTTAGTCCTTATTATTATGGGATGGAGCTGGAGACCAGCCCTTCCTGCTCTGTTGTGCCAGAGTTACTGTCATTTTCCCAGGCAGGTGGTGTTTGTCCCTGAATCAAACAGCCGGGGTTTCGGGGCTGGAGAAGAGCACGGCTCAGTTGTCTTTGCTGAGTCAGGGCATTTGGGTCCTTCTCGCCTCCCCCAGCAGGCATGGATTTTTTGCAAGGTGA